AACGCGGTATCCCTGTTACTTTAACTGACTGGGCTCCAGTTTTTTAGCTTTGTTTTTTAGCTTTGTTTTTTTGGCTTTCGACGGTGGTCGGGTTAGCTTAGGGATTCGAACCAGGTACCCTTGCAGCTGTTAGTGTGTTTTCTGGGTGTTTTAGYAAGGYGTCGTGAAGTAAAAAAGGGATTYGATCCAGGTACCTCTGTGTTTTWGGTAGTTCTGACGTTGTCTGTTGTTGTCAGGTTACTTGATCGAACACCTACCGGGTTTGGATTTGSAGACMGGCCTGGGGTCGGCTGTGAGTGTAGCTTAGAATTTTAGGATGAGACGCGTGTGCGAACTATAATAGGCATGATTGCGTGACATCGGGTCTTTTTCAGGTCCGACGCATACAGCAACTGATCGTTTCCAGAGATGGTCAGTTGGTCAAAGGCGGAGGTGGGTTAGTGGAAGGAAGAAGTTGAGTAAAGGGTGACGTATGGTGGAAACCCCCTGAAGATGACCGCGTGGCTGCGATCGAAACCGGTCGGGGAGCCATATCCCAACCGGCATGCAATCACCTGTGCATGTGTGCTTAAGTACTCTGTACGTGAATATACACGAGTTTTTGATACTGTGTCGCTGATACTGTGTTGATTTACTTATGTTTATCTCACCTTTTCAGTAATCCACTCGGGCGTCACGCCACGCCCGAGTGACCGGCCGGTCATGAAAATCTTCCTAGACAGAAGTGAAAAACGTTATCTAAAACCAAACAAAGATGCATCCAGAACAAAAAAGAGACAAAAAATAAATAGAAACAGCTCTCTCTCTCTCTCTCTCTCTCTCTCTCTCTCTCTCTCTCACACACATACACACACACACACACACACACACACACACACACACACAAGGTGAGCACGTTCCCAAACCTCTGCATCCCCCTCTCCGTGCATCTCTGTGTCTGTTCATACCTATGCTCTCTTCTCATTACCCATCCATCCGTCCATCCATCAGGAACATTGCATACAAAGACTCCAAATTCAACATATGTGATCCCATCCCATCCATCCACCCCTCCTTTGAGCAGTCTATACGAGGACATCTTCACAAAATACAAGAGTCCTGGTCAACCAACCCATAAAGAAGAATCCGGGCTTCCGATCTCACCTGTCGCCACAATAGAGGTCAGTCTTCGCATTTTGTTCGGCCACAGTCATAAAACAAGGGGCACAAGAGAAACCATTCTATCCACCATGGCCTCATAACCAGGGCCAGCAGGGATAGCACATATTACACTGGTTTCATGACAAAGGGCAGTAGAGAGATGCAACACTCTTCTGTATCAAGGTCCCAGCACATGGCTCCTCTTTTCCATCACTAGAATGATGGATTTCGAAAAGGTCGCTGACAAAGTGAGAATGCAAATGGCAATGCAAAACCGACCCACCTTCTTAAGGAAGTCCATGCAAAGTTTTGACATGTACCCATTCGCAGGAAATTGCACATCATTGTGCAAGATGCGGTCACATGTGGTTTGCTCATCGTCGGTCTCGAATGGGGGGCGCCCAATGAGCAGCTCGTAGGTGAGAATACCACAGGCCCTGCAGCAAGACCCCATATGCACGTGTTAAGCAGAACGAAAAAACAACACAAGAGCAGGACACAGAATTTAAGACTTCAGAGACAGTTTGCCACTTCTAACAATGAAGTGGAATCAACAAACAAACAAACAAACAAGAAAAAAGCAAAAGAAACACGGAATAGTTTTCTGTATGTGTCACCCATCTCAGCACACTGGAACTGTACACTCGAACTTTAAGAGTCTTCAGAGTCAGTTCAGAATTTCTTCACCATTAGTTTACTCAAAATTGTCTCGCAGACGCTTCTGTGCCAAGATGCCAGCATCGTCCTTCGGGACACCCGTTAAAGTGGAATGATACAGAGAAGATTAGCATGGCCCCTGTGCAAGGACGACACACACGAATCATGAAATGGATACCAACCAAGAATGACACCTGAGGCTTCTGAAGTACCAAGTTCAATCCTTGGATACAATGGAGCTCGATCCTTAGGTACCAGGGGCACCTGGTCACGCATGCCCGGTCAAGCACCCGCACAGGACACCCACTCAGCTGGCCACCTAAGGCCCCCAGACATGCAAAGATCCCCGCTCTTTTCTTTCAAGTGGCAGGGGGCATCTCTGCGCCCGGCAAGTTCTGCCCAAATCTGAGCTCTTTTTAGAGTGATTCAAAATGTTCAGAAGTTCAGACTGGAGTCATTTCAATGTTGCACTTAAGAATCCAATACACCACACTGCCATCCAGTGGCAGGGTTCCCGACAAACTACAGCCATCCTAACATGCCATCATAATACTTGGATGATGCTAGCTGTTGCAATCATGCAATAACTATTACTCTGATGCCAAACGGAGCCAAGCCAGCAGAGATGCAATGAATTGCCTGGTTTTGAGCTCTCCGGGATTCGATCCCGTGACCTGTTTTGTTTGCTGTGTTTTTTTTTTTTTGTGTGTGAGAGCCCAACTGGGCTTGATTCCCAGATCTGTTTGGAGTAGTCTCTGTAGGCTACCGTACCTGTAATACCACTACGTCTCTCTGCTTCGTCCTTTCTGCCCTTGAGTTGTAGGTCGTTTCTGTCCTCCCCTTTTGCCAATTTTAGGTCTAGATTCAGTCCTAGGCTATAGGCTTTCGTTCCTATGCTGTAGGCCTGTTTGTCCCCCCATACAGATACGGGGAGTATGAACGGCTGTACGGCCGTACGTACGGGCCCCCAGGCAGTCATGCAGGCCGTACGTACGGGCCCCCAGGCAGTCATACGGGCCGTACGTACGGCCGTACGACCCGTTTTCGGGGCCTTCCCGGGGTGGGAAATGGCATCCGAGGGGGTGGGGGGGGTGTGCATGTCGGGGGCTACCCCCCAAAGTAAAAAAAAAACGAAAAAACAAAAAGTTTATTTGGCTGGGCGGTGGTGGGGGGTAGGGAAAAAAAAAAAAAAAAAGATTGATTGATTGATTGATTGATTGATTGATTAAAAAAAAAAAAATGACGCCGCGTACCTTCATTATCTGATTGATTGATTGATTGATTGATTGATTGGTTGGTTGGTTGGTTGGTTGGTTGGGGTGGGGTGGGGTGGGGGGGTCGCCCTTCCTCTTCCCCCCCCCACACACGCACGCACACACACACGCACACACACACACACACACACACATACACACACACACACATGCACACGCACACTCACACACACGCACACACACACATACTCTCTCTCTCTCTCTCGCGCCCGCGCACGCGAGCGCGAGACAGACAGAGAGAGAGAGGGAGCGCGCGCTCTAGCATAACTGCACGCCTATCTACGAGTTTTTTTTTTTTTTTAATCAATCAATCAACCAATCAATCAATCAAGTTATCAATCAACCACTCGAAGCATTTAATCAATCAATCTGCAAGGCTCAAGGCCTTGATGAGCCCTACTGGGCCCGGTTTTCAGCAATATCGCCGCCCTAAGTGAAGGCAGGCCTAACAGGGGACGAGAGGCCTATTTTGGGCTTTCCATGCAACTGGGAAATTCAGGCAGTAGCGCCAGTTGGTTGAGAGAGCCCAGGCCCTGCCTGCCATTTTCCAAATGTATCTGAGGCAGGCCCTGGGCTAGCCACGGGGCATGGACTGCACACAGGCCGCTGGCAGTTGGACATGGGTAACCACCGGGCCCTGTGCCTGATTCCCTTGGACCGGGGCTCAGCCACTTGGGGCCCCTACCGGAAGCTTCTGGGCAGGGGCCCAGCGCAGCCAAGCAGCACGCAGCAGGCAGGCCACTTCCGTATAGGAAAGTGCCTGCCTCCGCATTCAGCATTCGGGCACTTGCCACTGCTGCGCAAGCGCTGCTGCGCTATCAGCTGGCAAGCGCCCCCGCGCTCACGGGCGAGCAGGGTACACGCAGGCAGCCATAGCCGAGCTGGCCTGCGAGATGCTGGATGGGGCGCAAGGTGGCACTTGGGTGCACGTGGCATCTGTGTGGGGGATCGAGGTTGTGAGTGAAGCTTAAGGCGAACGGCATTGGCCGAGATCTGCTCGTACTTGGGGAAGCTGTTGACGTCACCGGCGGAATTGTAGATAGGCTAGATAGGATCTGCCATTCGTAGTCTGGCCGCTGAGCGCCAGATAGGGAATCGACATTGGTTCATTGTTGATGATGATGAGACTACTCCAACATTGTCACTTGTGAGCTTTTGCTGTGCTCTTATATGGTGGAACTCGAGTTGCATTCCGCTTTTGGTTCGAGGTCACAACTGTCTGGTTTCATGTGTATGATGCTGCTTGGTTTCTGGAATTCGCTATCGCTCATTTTCCTTGCAAATCAATCAATCAATCAATTATTATTTCTTTATTTTGTTTTTTTTTCCCGTTGTGATGATTTTTATTTCATTTAAAAATAAAAAAAGAACAAAAAATTAAATAAAAAATATGGGGGTCTAGAGCACGAAAAGCTCTACACCCCCATATATTTTTATTTTTATTTTCGATTCTTTTTGGTGGGGTTTCGTGATTATGTACGGGGCCCTTCATATGGCCGTACACCATCCGTACGGCCGTACGAGCAGAGGCCCGTACGGCATATGGAGAGTTACACAGCTGTAGGCTGTCGAGTCAGGGAAAAAGCAGTCTACAAAAGTGTCGAGGGCAAGGAAAAAGGGGTTCTGTCTTGTCATTTTTTTCCACGAAGTGATGCTGGAGGTGGCGTGCTGTTTGGGTGCTGCGTTATTTCACTTGCGCATCATGTTCATGCTGCTAAGGTTGTCCGCCATCGCTGGGGCTTCCTGGCTCGTGTTGTGACTGCGCTGGGCATCAGGCCCTGAGCGCTGTGAGGCGCCTCCTCTTACCTGTGCTGTTGGGGATAGGCAGGGTCGTCATCGAAACCCTTCTTGCAAGTGTTTGTCGAAGTGGAAGCCAACTCCATCAAGCGCTGCTTCTTCTTCTCCGTCCTGGGAACTACCCTGCCCTGTTGAGCGGACACTTCATCTACAGTGGGCATCGAGTTGGGACTGCTGAGTGGCGTGTCGGGTTCAGGAGGGTTGGTGGCGCTTGATGGGCTTGATAGGTTGGGCGCAGGCCTGCGCCATAGCTGTGAGCTAGATGTAATGAACCCAGTCTGGCAGATATTCATCAGACGTCAAACCACAAGTAGTCTCAGATCTGCACAAGTCTCCAGTAATCGTTAAGTGATATCCGAAACAGTATTTCGTTACCAATAGACGAAGAGAGTGGAGGGAGGATAGACAAGGGAGAAGGTGGAAGAAATAATCAAAGACCACACGATAATAGCCCAACCATTCCCACTCCATCTCCGGGCTTCTACTCCCTCCACGTCATCAATCATTAATAGTAACCAGTTCTGATTTCTGATCACAAAGAAGTGCCACATGGCACTCTTATCTCGTGAAGAGCATGGAGACAATAGCAGAATCTAGTAACAACGACACCTCAGGTGAGTACCCGATCCCAATCAACCACAGATCCCGGTCTCCTTCCTTGCCGCAACCAGTCACCTCATGTAGACAGCGTGGCCAACGCCACATCAGATGTAGAGACAGGTGGCATGCGCCACATCATCAACAAAGACAGGTGGCAGCGCCACATCAGCCACACAATGTAGGCAGGTGGCAGCGCCACATCAGCAATGTAGACCAGTGGCATGCGCCACATCAGCAATGCAGACAAGTGGCATGTGCCACATCAGCAATGCAGACAAGTGGCATGCGCCACATCAGCAAGGTTGCAATCAGACTCGCTTCCATTCACACTTCACATGCATGCAAACAGGTTGCGCAGCAAACTGACGTCCAGCGCCCACTCAGAACTCAGAGATATAGTACCAAGAACGCAGCTCAGATACAAGTTCACTTCAAACGGCTATGGCGACACATCGCATGTACAACTCTCTGTTCGTCACTTACTCAACACTGCTGTTTGCACACAGGATCACCCTGGATATCCCGCACGCAACACCCTGTACACTCGCACACACCTACAGCTATGGCRGCTATGGCCGCTGCTACCCTATCGCTATGGCTAACTTCCTTCTCGCCCACTTCGTCTCCGGGCTCACTGCAGACCACCTCGCACAAGTCGCTGTGGCAGCGCTTCCGCATGGCTTACGCAGGCATCAATGAATGGCTSGGYGCTGCCTCTTGATTTATACTTCTGTAACTCGCTGGTCTGCCCTTTTCCATCGGCCCATGGTGCACACAGTCCCTCATGGTACTTGCTGGACTGGACTGGGACTGACTRGACCGGTACCGCTGACTGCATGGGTTTGCACCGCAGACTCGCTGCRGTCGCACTGCCAACGTACTGAGGTTGGCTCCACCACTTGCCCACTTGCCTCTGCCTAAACGTGAGCCCACTCCGAAAGGCCACTTCCGGGACCTTCCGGTAGTCTGTGAACTTGGCCTTTCCGGTACTGTAGCAGCTACGGCCTTGACCTTTCAGGGCTGTAGCAGCTACGACCTTGACCTTTCAGTAGACCTATGGCTACGACCTCTACAGAGCTGTGACCCCTACTTGACAGACCTACAGATCG